ATCCGTTGTCCCAATTTTTTTTTTTTAAGCATTTAAAGTTCAAATATTGACAAAATACGTAAAGATGACGAAAATTCACAAATTATTTTTAGTTAGAAATTCATAAAAGTTTTTATTTTTAAAACTCAGATTTTAAAATGTTATAGGTACAAGATTCATCATAATTTTGTCTACTTTTGTCAAAAAAAAATTTCTACCAGAAAGTCAAATAACATTTTTATGAGCGATTAAAGTTCAAATTTTTTCAACATTGGATATTCACTCGATTTCTCATATAAGTACCTAGCAATTTTCTTATTTTGTTGTAAATCAAAAATGAATAACTGTAAATTCATGAAAATTTCACTGAATATTTGTATTCTCATTTTCTATACACCATAACAATTTTGAAAATATTTTGATTCATTTTGAGCTGTTTACGGACAATTTCAAATTTCAATTTGTTTAGTTTTTTTATAAATATCATTAAAATTTTATTTTGTCAGTGTGAAAATTTAATACAATAAAGCTCCTAATATATTGTTAAAATAGCCATTTAAAAATATTAAAAATACATACATAGGCACAGTTTTTTTTTATAATCATATAAAGTTCGAATTTATCAAAATCTCGAAAATTAACAATCATGAATCATTGTATAATTAAAAAAGGTGCTCTGCTGTACAGTAGGTTACAAGTAGGTCACTGTATAATGGGTGGTATTAAATTTGAATTGAATGATATAATATCATTATATAAAGAAAAACGATTCTGAGCGGAGACGGTATCACCAGTGTTCGGACTTATCTAGATGAATATCTAGATATTTTTTTGCTCATCTTTTATCTTATCTAGATAAATAGTTATAAGGTATCTAAACGGTCATCTTAGATATTTTTTTTACTAATCTAAATGAATTCATCTAGATAGATTTTCTATTGATACAAATTGCGAAATTAAACAAACGCATTTTAAATTTTTATTAATTTTAACGGTTTATTTGTTATTTCATTAAAAAATAATAATATTTTTTACATAATTATAATAAAAAATGCATGAAACATTTAATCTGGGTTGTGCTATATCATACTATAATTATTATAGTTATTTAATTATGGTATAATATAATATAGCTAGGTACTAGCTATAATTCTGTAGAGTGTATGGCTGTAGACTATATAGATAAATATGAGTTAAGTTATCTTTTATCTCTATCTAGATACATTTGAGTTGCATTATCTTTATCTTTATCTAGATACAAAAATACTTATCTAATCCGAACACCGTCGGTATGTCAGTCTAAGTATAAGACATATTATATACATATCTATGCTATTAAAATAAATTGACCTATAATAGGTACAAATTAAAATTACAAATTAATCATATCACAATATCCATTAGGTACTATTATAACGAGTTATACATAAACAACAAACCCTAATACTATCATAGATATATAATAATGTACTTTAGAAGTTTCAAATACCCACGAATAATATTATACAATCACAAACAAATAACTAAAATAGTTATTCTAGGTTTTTTTTATGTAATTTCATCCAAATTTGAACTTAAAATGGCTATAAAAATAAACTGTGCTTATGTATTTTTAGATTTTTTGGTAACAGAATTAACTACTGTATAAAAACTGCTAATATAAACATTCAGTGAAATTTTCATATATCTATAGTTATTCGTTTTTGAATTACAACAAAATAAGGAAATCACTACATGAGAAATCGAGTGAACATCCAATGTTGTAAAAATTTGAATTTCAAACGCTCATAAAAATTTAATTTGACTGTCCGGTAGAGATTTTTTTATTGATAAAGGTAGACAAACTTATGAGTAATCTTATATTACATTTTCAAATCTTAGATTTAAAAAGGAAAATTTTTACGAATTCTTAACTCAAAATAATTTGCTAATTTTTGTGATTTTTCCATATTTTGTCGATTTTTGAACTTTAAATGCTTATAAAAAAAAACTGTGACTAACGATTTTTAATATTTTTCATCTGCCTTTGAAACAATATACTAGGAACCTTCTATTAAATTTTCAAGTTTTTTTAACCATCAAATTAAATTTTATTGATATTTCTAGAAAAAAAACTAAAAAAAAATTAAAAATTAAAATGTCCCTAAACAGTTCAAAATAAATCAAAATATTTTGAAAATGTTATCGTGTATATAAAATGCAAATATAAACAACCAGTGAAAATTTCATGTATCTACGGTCATTTGTTTTAAAGTTACACCAAAAACCAAATTCGATTTTGTCAAAAACCGATTTTGCGTAAAAATTCCCGTTTTTCCTTAATTTTTATGTTGTTTTTCCCGGCGCTTGTGAAAACTATTTTGAATTTTAAATTTTGACCTCCCCTATGCACCAACGATATTCACTTTCCAATCGAACAAGATACTGAAGTCGAAAATCGAAGCATTATTTCGACTACTTATCGTGTACACAGACACAAAAAAAAATCGGGGAGTGGATGTCGCTCTGCTGCACAGTAGGTTAGAAGTTGTTAACTGTATAATGGGTTGTTTTAAATTTGAATTCAATGATATCATATCATTATATACCAAAATGTGAGTGCCTTCGTACTCACGAATGATGTGTAAACATCTTAGCTGTAGTACGACTTTGATTGTGGAATATAATGTCATGGTTTGAGTGGGAATTTGTATAATACATATTATACGATACAAACACGGTTTCGCGCGTATACGTAAACGAGAATAATAAATAATATTAATAATAATAATGAATCGGCCGACGACTGTACCAGAGCGCGTTCGCACCTACCCATAGACAAGAATAAATTAAATCTTATGTGCTGTTAGGGCCGGTACTCTGCAGAAAAAATGTTAAATACTGTTACTGCTGAAATTTAAGACCAAACAAAATAATTATTCTATTGTTGTATTAATAAAGTAGGTAACTAAACTCACATATTGCAGAGGTTATTTATATCGTTGTGGAAAGATAAAATATAGATAAAAATAAAAATTATACAAGTATGCTCTTATATTCTAAAAAATGTGATTAGTTTCAAGATAGTAAACATCTATCACATTTTTCTCATTCAATTACAAACTATATGAATATATTTTTTTAAATAATGTAGGTACATTGTATTACTTGTGGAACTACTTATATATTATTTTAATATTTTAATTACTTTTAACATTATTTTTTCTGAAAGCATTAAATATATTGAATGACCAAATTTAAGAATGTTTGCACTTTGTGTTGCATAGTTTTCATTATTTGGTTATTCACATTTTGTAAAAAAAATTACAAGTTATTTTCAATGAAAATATTTCAAACTAGCTGGTAAATATACTTTTTTACCTTCAAAGAAAAATAATACTAACAGTATGAAATTATTGAAATATCAAAATGATCAAAATTCTGCAAATATAGCAGACATAATGAATAAATTTAAAATGTATACAGCCATGCCAAGATGTAACCTAGCCAGGCTGTGAGCTTTTTTGTCCTGTATTTTGTCGCAGTAACCCCTGTTTAGTTTTCATTGATAGGTGATAACCAATAGGCAATAAGGCTAGTTCTTTTTAAAATATCAGCCATTAGCCAAGTACAACAGTTGACAAAACTGAACAAAGCTGAGAAAACTAAAGTTGTGCATATAATTTTATCTGCATTTACTCAGCATGTAGGATATTAAGATACATTTGTAAAATGTTATTGTTAATGGACACAATTTTTTATAATCAGATAGATGATCCGCTAAATAAAATTATTATTACTATTATTAATATACAAATTATTTTTATAAAATTCAAATTGTAATTAATAAAAAATAATTGTAAATAACGATTTTTTCGTATAGCTGTTTGATACTAGTAGGGCACCATTGAGTACAGTTTAAAACCGCTAGTTGGAATAAAAATAATTTAATATTGAATGTGTAATAACTGTTCTTTGATTGTTCATAATATATACTCAAAAATCATTATTTCAAAAAAACTAATGTACACATTTATTCATTATTGCCAGATAAATTAAATTTGTTATTCAAATTAGTGAAATTTTTAAGCAACCAAAAATACCTTGATAATTAACAAGACTGACTAGTGACTTGTGTATCTTTTATTAATATTATATTGAGTTACAAATAAAATAACAATAACATATTCAATTTATTATTAAATAAATAATCAAATAATTAATGTAGAATTGTATGTATGATTTGAGGGAGGGGCATTACAAAACTGATATATTTATAAACTGTAACATACTACATAAAAATGAAATTAAAATTTTACAATGATTTAAGATATTTTAATATTTATATAATTATCAGTGATAACTTATCACTCAAGACATCAATCAACAAAATGTATTGTAAATATGTTGATATAGATACAATTAACATATTTTGGTTGTATTAATTATATTATACTAACCAACTAAGCATAAACAATTAAAAGAATAGAAAAGGTAACACAATAGGTATATTAAAAACCATATTTTGATATAATATTGAGAAAAATTAAATTAGTGAGGTTCTATAATATAATATTTTTTATAACATATTTTTAAAGAGATTTATAAAAGTTACATAAATACATTTGCATAAAATAAATGTATCAATTACATAAAAAAAAGATTGATTTTACATAGTTAAGCGAATTAAATCATCTTAAATAATTTGCATAATATAAAAAATAAAGTGGATTAATGTGTTACCTACTCAAAAATAAAGTTGATAATTTACGCATTATTAGAAAACAGTTATTACAAATTTGTAACTAATAATACTGAGTTACATACTAATTCAAAATATAGAATACAAAACTATAAATGGTTTTTATAAAACTTAATTAACCGAAAAAAAAAAATATATGTCTACTTTTATTTTAAGGTTGGAATAAATAATTCTAAATAATTGTTAGAATTATCAACTTACCCAATTTACCGAGATAAGTTAATTTGGGACAAAATTTATCAATGCCGGGCAGTCCATGTGACCTTTGCACTTCACGGAATTACCCCCGCCAGATCCCGGGCAACCCGTCTTTCAGTACGTACTTCATGCAAGCGCTGTGTCCATTACTTTTGGCAAGTATGTACGACATACCATCCCAAGGACAACCATTTTCCCTTGCGTACATAAGACACTCCAGATGGCCCGAATCTGAGGCGAACGCGCAAGTCCATACGTCCCAGTCGCACCCATTTTCCCTGGCGTACTTTAAACACTCCAGATTACCCGTTTCCGCTGCATTGGTGCACGCCTGACCATCACCCCATCCAATGCCAATCTCGTGAGCCAGTTTTAGGCAATCCATGTGATTGTGCGTCGCTGCCTCCGAGCATATGTTTTTAAACTTGTCATTTAAATTCGTTTTATACTTCTCTTCATACCTGAGGTTCAAGCTGCTGTACAGGGTCTGCCTATTGGTATTGTTGTCGCCGTTTAGTTTTTTGTTGATTTCAATTATTTCGAACAGCGCCCGGCAACAATTTTGCATATCGACGTCCGGGACTTCCAGTAAGTCGAACTTGTTGCGCTCGATATTGCTGCAAGCATAGTACGCCGTTTTCAACAGGCTTGGTGGTGCGGACATTTCTCTCGTTGTTCGACGACGTCGACCTACACGTCACTGTCCACTCCAATCATGCAGTAGAACAACTTTGTACCCGAAAACAAAACTCGAAAAGGTCACTCAAGACATTTAACAATAAAACGAGTTTACTGTAACGATTAACAACTTGCGAGGAAAAATAATGTGCAATGTAAAAATATGATTGGTAATCGACGTGTAAACACACAATTTAGGCGACGTCGTTAAAAAAAAATTCAACCAATTCACAAGATTTGTGCAAGTAGGTACAAACAAACTACAAACATAACCTATAAACTAAAGGACAGCGCATTCCACTCCGCAATGCCATCAATGCTGGAGAATCGTTTAGATGAGAAAGAAAGAAGTAATAAATCATGGAGGAAATACTTCACTTTTTTTTCAAAATTAAATGCCAAACAATGAAGCTCCCTGAGTAAAGTCATTGATTATAGACACAGATTTCTTTTTTTACTCAACGTTTATAGATAATTATTAGATCGATTTTAGATATTTTAGATAAATATTATCTATAAGCCTTGTATAGTACCACAGATTTCTATATAGTACTAGTCACTAGATAGCGAACTCCCGCCATGAATTGAAGCTTTAAGGTCGGTTGACAATTGTATGGTATTTCATATGACAAATAAGATGATAATATTATGATTTATTTTGTATCGTATTTTATTATTTCTACTAAACATGTAGTTTAAAAAAAAAATATATTTTATATAAGTCATTTTACATTTACTATTTTTTATTTGGCCATTAAAAAAAATATCATTCCTAATATATTTTGTTTAATAAATGAAATGTTTTGCCAACCGACAAAATGGCGGCCGAACGGCTGAGCTTCACTTAATAACAATGTAAATTGTATAGGAGTTCCATATCTAGGATTCATGGACAGATCCCCGTAATACATTTCCCCGTTAGACATTTCCCCGTTACCGTTTCCCCGTCCAATATTTCCCCGTCCAGCGATTTTCCCCGTTGGACATTTCTCCGTCAAAAGAAGGATATACATAAGATATAACAAATAAAGATAGTATAAATGTTTATAGCTTGTATTGCACCTTGTACGGACAAATTAACTTAGATATATATTTATTCTTATAGGTTTTATCAAATATAAATTACCTATAAAGATATTGGTACGTTATCGATGTACGATATACGTTATCCTTAAACGGATCCGGTATGCATTAGTAAAACTAACAAATTGAAATAGTTTAACAGTGTTTCGATAACTGTCGCGTCGTTATATTATTTTCGTTATACGCCGTCACATTCGTAATAGGTACATTAGATTTTTTCAGTAAACCTATTTTTTTTTTTTTACTATTTTAAAATGACTTACGTAAAAAGTACCAAAGGAAAAAATGTATTAGTACATGCGGAATATATTTTTGAAAAGGACTATACGAAAAATGAAAAAACATATTGGAAATGCATCAAATATAATATGTACAAGTGTCGTGGACGGGCACATACAGTAAATTATGAAGTTTAGAAGTTATTCTGCATAAAAACACTCACAACCACACACCCAACATAATAGCTCAACATTTACAAATAAGGTATTGATTTTTATTATAATTATTGCTCAAAATTTTTATTATTATTAATATTATTATTTATATATTTTTTATTACATTTTACAAATTATTTTATGTGCCAATATTTTACACATTACGGGGACGGGGAAATGTCGCACGGTAAAACGTATTAGACGGGAAAATGTCTTACGGGGAAGTGTTTACGGGGAAATGTTCGACGGTGAAATGGTGACGGGGAAGTGACCCGTTACCATATCTAGTGTAGTAGGTATAGAATTCTGTGACGCAGCTGCTAACATACAGCGGTGAACCGGCTAATAAAGACGGGGTACCTATGAAGTGGTCGGGGAATACGATGTGTGTCGAAAAGTTGCTGACGTAGGTACCTATTGTGTCACGATCTATACTCTCTCTACTAGACAGTATAAGGTCTATTATATACAATATAATGCGATAATTCTCTTTGCGCATGCGCTATTTATTATTCGTTCAACACGGAAACTTATATAATATTATAATAATATATATTCACTAATATGTGCCTCAAATTATCGGGACAAGAGTCTATCCACAGTGTATGATCTAAGTGGACCGTCATAGACATACATTATATTCTTGAATCATATTATGGTAATTAATAATTTATTCCGTTCAACGTTCATTGTTCACAATAACAATATTATGGACTATAGAGTAAAATTCAAGAACGGCATATAAGGCGACCACGAAGTAGAGAAGATATTATATTATCTCTACATCTTGAAGACGACGGATACCTGCTTATAAGTTATAACGTCTTCCAGTACTATGCCGTTACGTTACGCATAATGGCCTTTTACTAATAGACGACAGATCTGTCTTTAACCTTTTTGACGCCCTGGGCAGTGGTATAATGGAGCCCCTACGACTTGGGCAGAACACTATTTTATTGAACCAGGTAAATAGGGAGGTGGTAGATAAAAAAAAATCTAGATTAATTTAACTGTAAATAATTATTTTTGTTATTAGACGGAGCATAATATAACGACGGCGGGCGTCCTCGGAAATGTATTACACTATTACAGTCTACAGTGATAAATATATTATATTATTATATACGGTTATACACGGTTTATTGTATCATCTAGTGCGCGAGCGCCGTGTAATTCGTTTTAACGCCGGAAGAGTGCAGTGATGTGTGACCGCTGGAAGCCTGGTTCACGTCATTCTTACTCCGCCTACTATATAATATTATAAGCCAGGGCTACGCTTACGCACTACCAGTAGTTAGTATTCTTGTCTATGTACCAGACTCTTGAAAATAACAAAGAAAATAATAGATAAGCAACTCGCCTGGTTTATGCGTTCTGCGATTTTAGCGCTATGGCGACGACACACACACACACACACACACACACTCAAGCAGTCACATCTACATGACTTACGCCTGACGCTCGATTCCCCAAAAAGGTCGTACTACAAACCGTAGCATAGATGTTTACACATCAACAAACACACATCATTGTAAAATCAATACATTCATCGTTTCACTCAGAATCTAAAAACAAAAAAAAAACACACATCATTGTAAAATCAATACGCATGCATCGTTCCACTCAGAATCTAAAATTATAAAATGTACCTACAGTTTTTAATTTTTTATAACTATGGATTGAAAATGTAAAACAAAGATTCTCATAAATAGTTCATACTTATCATACCGTAACCAAAACATTTGTAAAATATAGTCGAAGAATATTGTTATAAGAACAGTTATTTTTTACTGACATTTTAAATTCAAATTTGGACGAAATGACATATTAAAACCAAGAATAATGATTTTAGTAATTTTGATGCATTTTAAAAATATTATTTGTTGTTATATGAAACTTTTAGAGTAAATTGTTATATTTTATATACACGCAATGACATTTTCAAATGTAATTTTTTCTGGAACAATGAATTTAACCTACTATAGTACCTAAATACTATAATTCCTAATACTGAAATTAATTACCTAAGTACTTTATTCACAATAGTATCATCAAATACCGTATATTAACCGTCTTCTCGTATACAATGATATTTTATCATTAAATTCAAATTTAATACCATCCATTACAGTGACCCACTTGCAGCCTACTGTACAGCAGAGTGACATCCGCTTGCCCACCTTTTTAAGATTGGTGTTATAAATATTATACTGTACTTACAAAAGTCTATAAATTATTTAAAATAAATATTTAAATGATTAGAACAAAAGTTACCTATTCAATTTGTCAGGTGTTTCTGTTATACATCGTGTATAAGTTCATAAATCATAAGCACAATTAGAATAAAAAAAATTGGCCTAAAACACCTAAGGCCGCTACTAAACTTGGAATAGTGGGCCAGACCTGTCCCAGTCCACCCCTGTTCAGTGTTCATACGTATTTTAAAAAGTTGGTAATAAATATAAATCGAGCTGCGTTATATTAAATTTGTTTTGTGCTATCTATATGGGTACACATATCAAAGTAAAGAGGAGAATTAGTCAATAAGTAGGCTGTGAGCGTAAATTGAGAAGCTCGCTCGCTCGCAGCGCTGTTTCCTTCGGTTAGGTTAGCCCCACCTCAGAAACACATAAATATATAACTGAATTGACGCGAACCGTTCAATAATAAAAAAAATTGTTGAAACTAGTTTAAATTCTACTCATCAGTACGGCCTCAATACTACTGTTCATAATATAATTTATCATAAGATCATAGGAGACGTATCATGAAATATTTTTAAGTATGGAATACAAAATGAACCTTTACCGAACAATTTTCGTATTTCGTATTATTATTTTTTCACATTAATTTCGTTTTATTATAATAAATTACTTTTGTGAGTTTATATAGTATTATAATAAAAAAAATACATAAATATTAACTATTGACAATCAATATTATGACCAATACGTGGGTAATAGCGGAATAAGTAATAGCGACGATGGAGCGGCGCACAATGCACATTCAGTTTTAAATAGTCATCAGAAGGCTGGTAGATAAGGACAGTAAAAATAATATTAGACGCGACACGCTGTACGGTGGTGGAACGATAGACGGGCCGCTGTACAGGGAAGCCACTCACACTAATGATCATTTACTACACACACACACACACACACACACACACACACACACGCACACACACACACACACATACACACACGCACGCCGCGCCCGCACGTACTATACGGATTGCCTATACTCAACTCCTTAACACGTTGAGTGTCGCGGTCGACAATTCGTATAGGCATCTTTATGGCCTTATAATTTACTCGGTTATCAGAGCAATTCTTCCGTTTTTATACGTGGTTATTCAGTGAAATGTCTTCTTTTCAACTGTGTATTCGGATTTTATTTTCGTTTATTTTTAGCATGGTTATTTTTTCCCGGAAAATCGTCGATGACGGCGACCACGACAATTGTATACATATAAGTTTATAACCAGTGGCGCCCAAGATATATTTTTTCAGGTGTAGCAAGAAACAATTTTACCCACCCACCCACCCTCTCAAAACTCAAAATTATATTATTATATTATTTTATTTTTGAAATTTTATCATATTTGTATTGATAATATTAGTAAATATTAAGGTATCAACCAATATAATCTGTGATTAATTATGAACATATTTCAAGTTTATTATTTTTTGTTATTATACCCATCCACCCCTTATTTTCAAGGTGTAGCGACCGCTACACTTAGAAATAGGGTTGGGCGCCACTGTTTATAACGTATATAGTATATATATTTATTATTCTTATAATATACGGTTGTAGAGTAATTAACTATGGTATTCGTATTGCCAAATTTATTTTCCTTATATCATAAATATATATTATATATATTATGATATATAAACGAAAATAATATAAGGAATTTACATCATTATAATATTATTATTTTGTTTACCTGCATACTATTCATTACTAGAGCTATAATTTATTATTTGTACACGTCTCTATTAGTCACGTTCAGCAGGTACGCTGAAGTGTTCGGTCATCTATTTTCTACGGTTTTGGTGTACACCGACGTACATTATTATTGTTCTAATTTACCTACGAGTTTATTTACGTATAATATCATGGTAGGTAATAGGTATGGCTCTGGGGGCCGACGTCGACGGGAGGATTGTAAACTCGGCCCGAGGAAAAAACATTTCCAAAAGGTCGATGGTAAACTCGGCCCGGGTTTTTTTCAGGTCAAAATTATTTAGATGTAAACTCGGCCCTGATTTTTTTCAGGTAAAAATGATTTAGGTGTAAAAACCATCATTTTTCTTATAATATTTTTGAGAAACATTTAGCATTACCCAGAGGACACCACGAGGGGGTGGTTCTCATTATCCTTCAAAAATTATTTTCATTTTCATATTATTATTCATAGAATGAAATTCGTTATTTAAAAGAAAAATGTAATTAAAATGTTATAATATTGATAATAAAATAATAATAAATGTAATTATATAAATGTATAAGTGTAAAAATGTGTATAAATATAATAAAAAATATATAAGTAAAATTGTAGTGTAAATAATGAGTGAAAAATGTTAGTATAATAATATATAAATCTAGTTTTTTAAGTAAAACGCCATGTATTTTACATATTCGCTCACTGATATTTCTTTATATTTTTATATTTTATAAGTGTTCTTTCTGAGAGTTCTTTTTTTTTTTAGTTTTTATATTTTGGAATTTAAATGGTCCATCTAGGCTGTTGATTTTAATGTACGTTTCTGTTTGTACTTCTTTTAATTTTGAAATGACGGAATATATATTTGGGTGAGTGGAATTAAAATTTGAATTAAAATGCCCATGAAATGATTCACATGCATCAAATACGTTTCAACTGATGCACTGGCCCACATTTCAGGCGGAAACATAGAATCTGACACCTGACATTTTCGGGCCGAGTTTACAATCGATTTATTTTACCATCTGAAATTTCCGGGCCGAGATTACAATCTACCTATTTATATTACCTAAAATTGTCGGGCCGAGTTTACAATCTACCTATTTTTATTACCTAAAATTCTCGGGCCGAGCTTACAACAAAAAAGGTAACTTCGGGCCCAGTTTACATTTGCCCACGTCGACACATAGTCGACCGACTTAATTACGGAACCGATTTCGCGCGGATTCTAGGGCAACGCGCGCCAAATACTACGTGGCACTCTACTCCTTAAAAACGGCCGGTATGCAATCCTCTCAACAACCAATAAACTGCGTACAAGCGTACCTTCTATGTGTAACCTGTGTATTTGTGTGTATATTACACTTCAAATGTTGAATTTATAAATTTAAATTTAAAGTACCTAATACATCGTTGTCTCAGTAATATCTAAAAATTATATAAACGTTTTTAAGTATTAAAAACAATATAATACAATGCAATATTATGAATTATGATATTGTTTATTCCCAGAATATATTGACCCTAAGCTAAACACCCTTGGCACTCCCAAAATGTTAGCCTATGATTATACAAAAAAAAATTGTAGGCCGCTCAAATCTTCTCCACCCGGGTCGAAGTACTCTCACTTCTCAGTGCGGACTAAATAAGTAAATAAGTAAATAATATTAAAGATAATTATTTATAAATTATTTTTTTTCGTATATTATTGTTAATGTTACTAAAAAATCTATAAATATTATAAATATTATTATACACATAATTATAAAATGCTATAAACTGTCTGTAATCTAGGTGACTAAAAGCAGGTGCAACATGTCTCAGTAGCACATTAAATTTTCTAACTCAATAATCGTAAAAGTTGAAAAATAATTACAATATGTGTTAATAAATTGTAGGTACTTAAATATTAAAAAGTTAAATATTTCAATGTCATTATTAACTACCTACGTGTTGGGTTATAAACATAACGTCAATATAGGTACATAAGTTTAATCAAATTTTGTGTGCATAAAAATTATTTAATGCTCATAATAAAATTAAAACTCTAGACCCAGTAAAAAAAAAAAGTATTTAAGAGGGCTAGTGAATACTATAACATTATCATTAGCGAGTTCCATCACGTCCTATACATTCGTCAAACATCAAAATACCAGGTTTGTACTTATAATATATTATTATTTTTAAATTAAAATAACAACAATATTCTAAAAATCAACATTCCATCATTATGTGTACCAAATTAATATCATGTTTTACAAAATGTGCACCTATCCATATATCGACCCATAATATTATAAAAAATAAGATAGATCATGATGAATGTACCTATTATAGTAGTTTGACCCGTGACAAATTAGATAGGTATCATCACAGTTGTACTAGTTTAGCGCAGTAAATATGTATCTCCTTCACCTCCGGCCTATATCGTAGTTCTCCACTTCTCATTGGTTGATTTTGTTCCATGTTATATATGTGTGTATATGATTGACAGCCAATAAGAAGTGGAGAACTACGGTAAAGTCGAAGGACGCGTATCAAAATACTGTGATGATACATATTTAACATGTCATGGTTTGACCAACAAACGTTTTGGGTGAAAGTACATACCTAATATTGTCATTATACAATGCTTTAAATGTTCTAATACTAACAAATTCAATACAACGTATAAATATCGGTTAACAAAGATTAGGATTAAGCATAAGATACACTATGTTTATTTTAAATTAATAATTTTGATATTGTTATAATATAGTGATACGTTACTCACCCTGTGTGAGATAACGTCTTATTATAATAATAAAAAGTCCTTCGATGTTGTCAGGAATCATTTATTTGTTTATTTTCATCATGATTGAATCCAATGATTGAAAAATTAAAACAAGATTCTACGTAAATAGGTTATATATAAATTACTTTATTCACCTATTAGTATCATATCAAGTATACTTCGTAATATCATAGGCTGGCTATCCGTTTTCGCTTAGAATTGTTTTTCTTATACAATGATATTATATCATTGAATTCACATTTAATACCATCCATTATACAGTGACCCACTTGTAACAAACTGTACAGCAGAGCACCTTTTTTTAAATATAAATACAATTTTTTTATTTTTCAAAAATTGGGTTATTTTTTTTAATTTTCCGAAAACTTTTTTCGGAAATGTATTATTTTAATATTTTCCAATTATATTTTAATGATATTGATAGATGATATTTTCCAAGGCTCTGGGAAAAAAGGTTATTTTCCTAATTTGTCCGGGTTTTTAATCCCTACTCTTACGCGATTGTCTTACAAGTAGGAAATGTTTATAACGAACATACAATATTATCGGTTTGGGGTATGACACTGTACTGAAACCGCTTACAAAAGTGGCATCCGATCATAAGTCTCATCTGGACGATTGTGAACTAGACAGGCGTGGTTGGTGGGAGTACGTAGATTAGTCCTCTAAAAAAAGGGCTATTTCCTGGTTGTCGTAAGTCAACTGAATGAATTAACCGCCGGCTGGGAAGTCTTCGTTGATCGACGTTGCTGTCAGGGGTGATGCCACTGGCGATTCGTATCCTTATCCTAGGACGATTATTGTGACGGTACCTCGAAAACTCTCGTCGTTCGCATATATTTATGACGATTAACTTTGAGCAGTGCACGTCTTCGTATTAGTCGTTGGTCGTGCAGTGTAGGCTACCCGGGACACGTCGCCGGTGGCGTCAACGATGATACAGTGGCGACGACTGTTAAATCCCTTAATATTTTGTGATGTAAAAAACATCACTAAAAAACAATCACTAAAAATTTAACGAAAAAATAGTGAGCTAATGGTCCGTTAAACATCATTTAGTCCCATGGTCCATTAGATTTTGTTGAATCATTAAATTATTAAATTTTCCTTACAACCCTGCGTATGTATTTTATTCTATTGATAATTATTATAATATGTATTTACATTGTTTTATAGACAAAATGTTTCCGGTGCAATTATTGGTTGTTTTATCAACGATGATTATTATTAATCAGGCAGCAACATTGAACTACAAGAATCTGATATCAGTCACACCAAGTTATGAAGAATATAAGGAGGCATACAAAATGTTAAACGACAAGACAAATTATAATTCAAAAGAAAATTCTGAAATTGAAGCTTCATATGATACAACAGATTCACAAGGAAATATCATAAATTCAAATGAAACTGCTTTACCCATGTTAAAAAGCGTTCCTTGGTTGTCGATTGCAGACATTGTTACTTCCGTTATAGTGGACGCTTTCGGAAATATGATGAAAAATAAAAAAGATTGAATTTATTATTACAATTTTATAATATATTAAACATAATAAATGCATTAAGTTGAATTGTTATTATTTCCAAATTAATATGTATAATCCTTTTCATATTTTTATTCCACAAATTACAATATGATATTCACCTGTGATAGGTAATATATCATAACCATTACATTTTTATACTCATATACAGGGATTTGTATAGAGGATTAATCGGAATTTCAGTTCTGTTTTAGCAGGAAATTGTCAGAGGTTGAAATGTTAATAAGTGAAAAAACGGTCAGTATAGCTTGTATAAATGACTGCACTATTTAAAATAATATATCTATATTATAATAATTAAAATTAAAATAATGCGCTATATTTAGACGATTGGAAAATATTAATTACGAACTAATTATTGTTACCGACGTAACGAAATAAAACTTTTAATGCTTGAATTTAAGTACCCGACACGGACCAGTTACGTCGGTTATTAATAAGTTCCTATAGACAATAACTATATTGAATAACTATATATTGAACACATGGATCATTTTGAAGTACAGTCAACAAACAAAAAATTATAAGTAATATTGAGGTCGACGTAACCAAATCAGGGACTGGAACCGAACCTAAAATAACCGGTTCTGGAACCGAAACCTATAAAATATCAAAACCCGGAACCGGATCCGAAAACTTTATTTTAATATTTCAAGTACCGGTACCGAACCAGAATTTTTAAATTAAAAAGGTACTTTTAGGTTCAAAAATAAATTAATTTTATTTATCATATTTAAATGTATTACTGTCTTGTGTATAATCTATCACACCAAAAACACTTCGTTATAACTCCTCGTAAAAAAAAAGCTAAGTTAAAAAAAAAAAATGTTGTTATGATTAAATCTTTTAAAGACGTGATATAATATGGAAATTAAGTAAAATGACATTTTATAATATTACAAATACCTATGATGACAAATAAGATCAATTGTAATGATCAATTAACTGGCTGGGCACTTTATGGCCCTTTATGTACATATTATAATTCGGGCCAATTACTGCCAAATACACTTGAAAACCGTATTTTAGAATACTTGCGATATTTTGTAGCACTTAATGAAGATCTAGTGACAGTACTAACTTTTTTACTTTTAATTATTTTACATATTTTTTTTTGAAAATGTTGATGTATGGTAATGGTACTCAAATTGACACAAAATACCATATTCTGTGTTCACGGCTTTGAAGGTAAAAGTGGCTAATTAGTTATTTATGTTAATAAATTGATTGTCAAGAATAGTTAATAAATTAAGAATTAAAAGTTCATAAAATGTTATTATTTTAAAATAAAAATGAATGATTTAATAAAATTTGTTGTGTTACAAATTCAGTAGAATATTATACCGTGATAATAAATATTAAATAATTATACACTTGCTACCGAAGACATTGCTTTTTTCATGTAAAGGCCACTTTTAATATTTCCCGTGTAGGCTTTAAATAGCCACTAAATTTCCGCTCTATGGTCTGAATTCAGGGGCGTCCTATTGATGCGATGAAAATAGCGCAATTGATCGCGTCGTAGTATTTAAAGTTTTCTTTAAATTCAATGATTTAAATATTATTATAGGTACTACGAAAATAGTTTGTATTTTTATTTGAAAATATATTATATAATTATATAATGCAATTAAATGAAATTAATGTACAATTATACGAAATACTTGTTCAGTTGTAGTGGTTGTACAGTACCTTTATACAGTATTTTAATAAATAATAATTAATAAAAGTGAATAGTCTTCTATAATATAGTGTACTAAACAAATGTAGACCTAAGAGCATCAACAAGACATCTCCAATTAATAAAAAATTTCTATTCATATAACTGTAACGTAATCTATATAAGTAATAAGTAGTAACCACTTTACTCAGTGATAAATTGTCAAAATCAAATTTTTATGATCACAAAACCAAAAAATAAAACTTATTTATAATAATAAATTATAAATTATACCATACTCGTAATAAATTAAATATTTTTAGTGCAACAACAAGTCATATCATTTATATGATATCTCTATTCTCTGTATTTAATAATCGGATTTTTCTGGTTGTTCCACCAAACGAAGCAGTTTTTTTTCTTAATAATAATGTGCAGTCAAAAACTAACTTTGACCAAATTTTGGAAATAACTTGTTGTTGTTCCGAGGTTTTAAAATTATATATTATTGTTATCAAGTCGTAAAATGGTTAGGAGAGGTACTGCAGGTTAAGGTAATAGGTAAAAATACTTTAGGTACGTACATGTTTACATTTTTGGAGAGGTTACAGGCATTTAATTGCCATTGTGGGGTATCACGTGTATTTTGCAGTTCCCGTTTGTCAAAGGTGGGCATTAAATTGTTAAAAAGTTAAAGTTAAGTTAAAAAGCTAATTTTTTTTAACTTTTTTACTTACTAGTTAATTAATTTTTTTTTAACTTATAAACTTATTCAGTTAAAAATATGTTTATTGTTGTAAATCAACTTTTTATAGTTAATTATCATTGTCGGGCAGTTAAGTAAATTTTCTTTTTGTGTCGGGCGTAATCAACTAGACATACTGATTCATTGACACTTTTTCGATTTTGGTAATTCATTTTCGAATTATATTTTATAATAATCTAATTTTTACACAGGGTTACAACTTACAAGTCTTGGTAAAGGTTTGTGTATAACAAAATACTAGTACAGTTTATGACTTAAAATTGTAACTTGAAAAAAATTTAACTTTTTTTTTCAATTGAGTTAAGTTAAGTTTATTTTCTATTTTAACTTAAAACTTATCTAGTTAAATTTTTTTTTGTCAACTTTTAACTTGAGTGAAGGCTATTTATTTTAATTAACTTAACTTGCCACAATTAATTATTTTCATTAACTTTCCACCTTTTCCGTTAGTTATGCCCCGGACCCAAGAAATTATAGGGACGGCATCGGAGTCCGATGCGCTGAAAATAGCTGTTTTGATCGAAAGGTGTTCGTGTTAGTGTTTACGTAGCCAAGCGTGAAAATAATGTAATAATATTAAGGTGGTGGGAGACACTTGCGGTCTAGAGCGTGGGTTGGTCATAATTCGTGTGTTCAAGTACCAGGATCTCATGCGTTAGTCATGTGCGTCCGTTGCGCGGTCAATATAGTATATTATTATTATTATTTGTTAAAGTAGAATATTTATGTAATCCAAATCGTTATTTTATTTTAATTGTGTATAGACGAAAATTAATTATTTAAGTAGGTACCCAACAAAATAAAAAAAAATACCAAGTATAAATTACGTAGGTAGGTACATAATAATATGTGTTTATTAAAATACGCAGATAATTTCCTATGTGTAACAACTTTTGTTTACAATGATATCGTATTTCAACAACAGTTCGGTTCTTCAATACGACGATACCTAAACCTACTTATAAAAAAAAATAAAGGTTAAGTACTTACTTTTTTAATTTACAATAATTAATTTTTTTTTTTTTTTATTGATCCTTAAGTATCCGGCATCTATGGCCATTAGCTGTTTGTAGGGTTGTATTGTGGTGGTGGTAGGGTTTGGAACGGTGAGTTTTTACACGTGAGTGTTTGTGTTTTTGGCAAAATTTTTAAGTGGGAATGTGTAGGTATCTACCATGCCCGGGTAGCGGCCTTTCTCTCCGGACAGCGGGACGGCCCGAAGAAAAATGCCGATCGTAGCAGGGATCGAACCGGCGCCGATGCGCGTCTCAACCGACCCTTTTTAGTCCGCTTGTCCCACTCGGTCCACAAATAATTAATTAAGAAGACGTTACAAGCGCATTTGTTGTCTCCGCCTTACAAGTGCGTAACATACCAAATTTATACGCTCAGCAGTTCAAGTTTATCTTTGTTAGTATAAAAATTAGGGTGAATCGGCCTTTGCAAGCAGACTATATACTTGTATATGATCTATGATATATGAACTACTGACTATATATAGGCAAAACACAGGGTGATATTATAATTAATTATTAAACTAATGTCAAACATAATTTTGATATGAAATAGTAAAACTAGTTATATAATTATTGACATAAATTTAATTTCACATTTTAATAAAAATTATGTCGGACATTAGTTTGTAGCGTCCCCCCGTTCAAGTAAATAAAAAATAGTATTGGTACCCAAAAAAAATAAAAATAGTAGGAGAGCTCCGTTTCCCAGCGCACCCCCAATTCGAGCACTGATAAAATGGTGATGCAAATAATAAATATTCATGTCAGCAGTGTATCTTTGGTTGTGGACGTAAATATTAGTAGCTGCCAAACTAATTAAAATTATTTTTGTTAAATTATCACACTCATCATATACAAACAATTATAAACAATTTATTGTAACGGGCTAACGTCATTGAATATTACCGTTGTAACATAAACATTGTTCAAAAAAATAGCTTTTCGATCAATAACTGTGCAAATACATTTGCATATTACTCAGGCTGTAAAACTCCTATATCGACTTGACATTTTTAAAAGTAGGTATCACTATCATCTACATAGCATACTGATCAACCCGTATAAATTTCAAGTCAATCGGTTCATTACTTAAGACTACAGAAGATTTTTCGTAAATTACCTACCTACACAGGTTTAATCCGAGTGTAAATGTGTAAGATACAGAATGTCGTCGTCACGACCTCTTCTTTACTTTGCTCTGAGACGCGACTGGGCACTGGATAGTTGGTTCGGGTTTTATATCTGAATGTAACAGGAACTTATGCTGTGATCGTGGTGTCCGGTGAGCTGACAATGCTTTTATCGAATTTATTGGTAATTATCTAGACTCTAGAGCATAATATCCAGGGGCTGCAGAAACTTTGAGACTGAGTCGTCCCTTAAAAGTAAACTAGCTACTTATAAATAATATAATTAATTTTTTTTTATTATTATTTTTACAAGTAATATACAATCTGTATTTTGTACCAATAGAGGCACAATAAGAATAAGGGCTATATTATTTTAATGACATGAAACGGTTGATGGAAGAAGCCACCCGTAATGACACTCCGTGGACTTGACTAAATATAATTAATTAAAAACAACTATGTATAGAAAGATTTTTATTTGAATTGAAATCGTTTTCATTGTTTATTATTATAAATTGAAAGTCACAAAATCGAAAACCTATTAATAGTTAACTCGATAGAAATACTATTTTAGTCATTTCTGGGGGTCATTACTGCTCATTACTACTGTCGACGGTTCAGTGAAACCCGTCAGTAGCAATTGTAACATGTAATGGTTGGTCAGAGGGAGCCGCGTATCATGCCATTGAACCTGGGTTCACGACAGTAATATTGCCGTGCCGCTACGCCGTGTTGAGTTAGTTTTACTAGTTTTAGACGTTTTATTCAGGGTTTTTTATAATATTATTTAAAAATATTAACTAAATATTAATTGAAATATTAATAAAATAAATTTTTTCAATAAAAAGGTTTTTCTTGTTCGTTGTTATATCGTAACTAATTTATGTTATATAATTTAAGTCTCCCCAGAATATTTACTCACGAGCCGCTACTGATAATATCATAGACTATTAATTGATGTTTAATGTTTAAATAATTATTCCTTTAAGTTGAATAATATTTTATCAATTAGCTCTAATATTATAGCTAACAATACACACATTATGCAGGACGTTTTATGTCCTATTGTCCTCTTAACAAAGCCATTTAGAAATTAGAATATTGAGGACAGAAAAATATATTTTTTGGAATATTAGCTCACTAATGAATCACTACTGAATCTTAATATAAATGAAATACCTCCTTTTCTCTTTCTCAATAATCTTAATTTAACAACTACGTTATTCAACTTAACATTAAATATTATGTCACTTAAAATATATTGTTTTTGATACATTAATATATTGATATGTATTTAACTAAATATGTTTGTACTTTTGTAGAATAATTCTAGAAAGGTTTTGATGAGAGGAATTATTAGCCATCAATATATTAGGTACATACAGTAAATATACAGTATATAGTTTATTATACAGTCAATTTATAATCATTTAATATAATAATCTGCATTAAATGCAGTCTAATTTATGGTTATTTTATTTTAAAAAAACTGCACTAAAAATGTCGTCCCGCTTAATATTATTATTTTTACTTAATTAATATTAAAATAAATTTACTATGTAATTATTTTAATAAGTATAAATCTATTACCTACATTTTTAATTTTATCCATAAATGGATTTTTTTCAATAGACTGGTATACTGTTGTAATTGTATAGTTTTTAGTTTTATAAGAACAACTTTATACAATAATAATAAAACACAACTTAAGATTTAAAGTATTACTCGATGGCAATGCATTATTTTTAACTGCTCTGTTTACCCAGAGGTACTTCAACATGAATAAATATAAAATAAAAATAATTGAAATTGTCATAAATGTTTTTTTTAATAGAGGTATACAAATTATGGGACTTGGTGAATCTACAATATTATATTGGCAATAAATTTGTAAAAGTACCAAATTCTGTCAATATAAATGTAGACCCTCCCAGAATGAGTATGTAAATAATTGCACATTTGCACACTGATTCCTTTTTCCTGATAAAATCTCAACTCGATTGCTCACTAAATGATACAAGTACCAAGTATATTATACAACATTAATATACATTGTAAGACATACATCATATTATAATATATTAAATATACAGTAAAAAAATTATTAACAATTTTCAAAATTATTATTGTAATATTAAATAAATTAAAATCTATAATAATAGTTAAATTAAAAAACATTTTTTGATTTTTTATAATATATAATGTATTTAAATGATAGCAATTCATTTTTATAAAGTTGGAGAAAACAACATTATTATTTATTGGTTCGTTAGGTCAGGTAATAATTTAATCTTAATACGGCTACTGTTTCTATGTAAATATCTCAAATAATCTAATTGTTCCGAACTAGTGGTACTTTTGATGTTAATATAACGACAAGATTAAACGTTTTTATGGACGTATATCAAGCAATCTAAGTGCCCCAGCCTTTAAAACACATAATTCTATCCCATAGCTAGTTAGATCGTCGGATGGAAACATACGTCCCAACTCCCAAGGCTGTGGCAATTAGCACATAGACTGCAGGGAATACGCAAGTAAAATCGGTTAATCTTGGGGCATATCTGCTACTGGATCAGAGTAATTCAATTTCTGAAGTACGCACACGGAAATGGATTTGTTTAGGATTGAACAGGCATAACCACAGTAGACATAATCGGACTCAAAAGCCAGAGTTAAATCAAAAGGCAAAAACAACGGATCAGTTTTGAGAGCGTATATACAACAGCCCGTTTGGACGGCACCTTAAATTGATTGTATAGAAATCGTATAGAAACACTGTAAACAAATAATAAATACATAATTAGTGACACAATTATTAAATAGTTTTAGTGAACACCAAACTAAGACATAATTGCAAGTAAAGCTATCGAGACAAAACAGTAAAACATTAAAATTTAACTGTATTGCCGAGAGCTTTACAAATATAGGTATATAAGTGAAAAAACGTGACTTACTTTATTTTGATGGTATTTGATGGCATTTTCTTACACCCATACTGGTTGATGTATAGAAAAGCTGTAAACAAATAATAAATACGTCATAAGTGACACAATCGTTAGAGTTTTAGTGAGCACCAAAAAAAAAACACATTGTACAAATTTGTGCAATTTTGTTATTTTAGGTTCACTTCATGATAATTAAAATACTTAAAAATAGGTTTAACTTGTTCAATAAACGATAAGACGCAGCTTTTGTTATTTCTATTAAAATCAAAACTTTAATAAGGTTTGTAATATATTGTATTAGTTTTGTCTGATTGAAATACATAGATATTTTATAATTATTAAAATTATAAAACGATTTTTTTTATGGAGTTATTATGAATTTTGATATACAATATATCGGTTCTCAAAAATTCAATTTTTAAACTTATAACTGAAAGCTTTCACTAATAGGTAATTAGATATTACCTAATAGATTGTCGTAAAAAACAGCGTAGATACAAATTTTTGATTAAAGCATGGAAATCGTATTTTGCTTATGCCATATGCTGTATGCATAGGTAACATAACTATTATTATTAGAAATTCAAAATAATAAGTAGCTCCAACTTGGTCGATTTTCATTACATTTTTAATATTTATTTTTTTTTTGAACTGTTTTAAAAAATATGATCAACAAAACAGCTACCTTGGAAATTTAAATAATTGAATTGCCTAAAAAAAAATGTTTGTAATTTTTGAGAAAAAAAATCGTATTTTATACTAGGTACCTACCTACCTCATATTCGATCAAAATGTAAATACATTTGAAGGCAAAAAAAAACTGCATTTAATTACCTATATTGATTTCCCACGGATATACTAAGGGTGATACGGGACTTTTGGGACATACTGTAAAGGTTCTCTCTCGTGACTCACTTAATTTTGATATTCAATGTTTCAATGACGTTCTATTTCGCTTTTACATATTTGGCATTCGAATCCAGACTCCAGACCAAGGTAGACGTAATACAATAATTAATTATAGAACAACCACCCTGGTCTGAGCCGAATGACAGAACTTATAATAATGGACGACAGGAGAGAAGCAGAGAGCGAACTACCAAATAATATAGATCGGAATACGGGACAGATTAAAAAACCGTGACATATTTTATCCATCCGAAAACGGGTAGCCTACCTTCAAACGTATCATAGGTCCTTATCATTGGTTTCTCATATAGGCAACCACTACGATTTTTGGGGGGATCATATGTCGCAGCATTTTAAAATTTTAACACTGTCCCGTATTGATATATATTGTATTTTGGTACTGCGTTGTAGAAAATAATACAACAAAAAGCGACGCCATAGGGCGTAGACTGCAGTGGTGCCGTATGGCCATTACTAGAGAGCCTTTATTAATATTATTATTTATAATAGTTTATGACTAAAGGCTAATAAAAATTAATATTATTATTATTTATTATTACTAATCTAGTTATACATAGACAAAGAAAATAAGGTTATATAATATAAGGTTGGTACACCCGTACGCAGCTGCCGACCACGACAGTCAAAGGCTAATGGGAGTCGGCCGGCCGGCGTCAATACCATTCGAACATCGAGAACGACAAACAGGGCGTGGGGCGAATCTTCTTCCAGGAATAATATCCTGGAAGATACTATGACATGGCCATACACTATGGCCACACTAACATCGTGTACTATTAAACAAGCTGGGACTAAAAGACTAATGGTTTGTGAAGCTATTTCGTCTTCAATATATTCTAATAAATTACGAACAACATTTTTCCCAAGTCTGAATCTCACCCTAAAGTCATGGTCGTCCCACGCCAGCATATTATGATTTATTCTTTCGTGTACAGTGCATAGACGACGTCGATAAATCAAATATTGAATTATTTCATAATCATCATCCTCTTCCCATTTAAATAAAATCGAATGCAGACGAAAATTGTGAAATTGACAACACAGCGTATTTCATAATTAATAATATTTAAAATAATATGATAAATTACTATAACAAACCATATTCAGTTGTTAGTTATCCGTCGAATAAGATTTATTTGATACAAAAAGTAACGGATAAGGTTCATCCCGACATTGAAAAACTGAAATATAATATACATTTCGCTGTGTCTAGGTACCCGTGTACCTACGCTTTACATACACGGACCTATCCCTGTATATATTCAATACCCGGCAAAGGTCCCACAGAGTGGCAAACTTGAAAAACCATCGTAAATCATTTACAGTGATGCCGTGTATTTTTTCTCATCTGTCAGATAACTCGAGTTAATTAGTTAATTAGTCGAGTTAATTTATTGAAAAACCGGGACTCAGCGGGAGTGAGAGAGAGAGATGATGACGCGAGATGAAGACGCCTAGAGACGCGCAAAGTGCAAGCCGATGAAAAAATCAATAATATTCCCCTAAAAACAACGACATATCGATATTTTTTTTGGTAAATTACTAATATGGTAATATTTTGTAGTATTTGGTAGTAAATTATACTGCGGCTGTAGCCAGCAGTAGGTACCCCAATGCACCTAGGGATGAGCAAAAAATATCGACAATATCGAAATGTTGAAATATCGATATATATTCTCAAAATATCGATATTTCGATATAGTCAATATTTTTTGCGCGTCTCTAGAGACGCCATTGCAGACTGATTGACTGAATTAGAACTTAGAAGTATATAATTTATATTTTTTAACTGTTAGACTGACGCGTTGTCTGACTATATTGTTGACTGTTGAATTGTTCATTAATTCAAATAAGTTTGAAATTATTGAGTAATAATCTAACTACACATCTCAACAAAATCCATTGTACCTATAAAGGAGGATCAACCTGCACTGCAGCTAATTGTATAATATATTCATATATATAATAATAGCAAAGCAAATCGACAGGGAAAGTGAATATAATTACATAGGTAAGTGATGAATTTATGGTTATTTACAAATCATTTTATTTTTTTTTTTACCTTGGAGACGTTGGTGTTTACTTTGAAATAAAATAAGAACAAAAGATAACAACTAGGTATAAAAAAGAGGCATTAGAATGCATTTAACATTTACATTTATCATCTCTTTATTTTATTTTCATCTTATAATAATTAAAAATCCCAGGAATTATATTGTGTAGGATATTTATATTGTTATTATTAATATAGTGGTTGGTAGGTATTGAATTAATATTATTAGCATAATATACTTTAGAAGTTTCAAGTATTCACGAATAATATCTGTTTTTAAATTACAGGAAAATAAAATCATTATTCTTGGTTATTTAAATATGTAATTTCTGGGTTAATAAACCTGGTTTCTATATTTTTTGGTTACAGTATGAATATACAATCTTTGTTTTAAATTTCAATCCTTAGCTATAGAAATTGAACATTTTATAATTTTTTAACAACAATTAATTTGAAAATGTTAGATATTTTGTAAAAATTTGAACTTTAAATTGGAATCCTTTTTTATCTTATATTTGTCCAAATCATTTCTGTGAAAATGATTTTGTACTTGATTTAAAGGTCTTAGGTAATGATTGTTTTTTTTTTTTATTTTTATTTAGTTATAATAAGATGTCAGAATTATATACTCTTAATTTTCTCCGAAAATGTTTGACGTGCAACAATGTAAAACAAATTTTCTATTGATATACTTTAAAACTATTTTTCTTTTTAAATTACTTTTAGATATTACTAACATTATTAAATTATTTTATGATATATAATATTATACACTTATAAATAAATTATAATTTACCTCTGTTATGAAAATAAAAAACCATGATACACTAGTCAGTATAAGTATAGAATGAAGTATTATTTAATTTGGATTTTCATTAAAATAGGTAATATATTATATTTAATTATTCATAGTAAATTAATAATAACTTAAATTTATTAATTTGGAGAATATAATTAATGTATAAAACAATCAATAGAATAATATCAACTTAATATAATGTGTCGTGATAAATAAAATGTATTATATTCTAAAATATTCTTTTACTTTTGAGCAAAATACATTTTTTCTATTTTATTCTATAATTTATAAATTGTAAAGTTATCAAACCTCAAATCGACCTCTAGTTATAATAATTATTAAAATATTTTAATAACTGTTAACATTTTATATAAACTTATTAGGACCTACTCCAAAAAAGCTATTAAAACCGAATGCTGTTTGAACTGAAGGTTGACCAATTACATACAAATTCAAAGAAGTTTTATATCAACACCAGCTACATTACCAGAATGGAATCTAATACCATAAAACAGGTAAAATATAATTTTTTTATTTTAACAAATTTAAGTGTTTTTTATATTCATAATTCTATATTTTAATATACTTCTGTAACTGTGGTACCTATTTATGATAAATTAAATTTTTATTTTAAATTTTAACATTTATTTTTATTACAGGACAATGATCAAAATATTGTTACAACTGTCGAGGAATCAAATCCACCTACAACGTCCAATATACATAACGCCGAATCAATCCCTGAAACGAATTATGAGCAGTTACGTAAACTATATAATGAGTTTGAAACTTTACAAAGTGAAAATTTAAAAATACTACAACGTATGAAATACTATAAAGATATTAATGAAACTCTTTGTTCTAATATTGAATCATTAAAAGCATATTTAAGAGAAACTAATTTACAGATAGAAGAAACTGATAAAAGAATAAAATTGTATAATCTACTTACTACATATTTGCGTAAGCAGGAGCAATAATTTAGTATGGGGCGGCCCCGCTTTTTTTTTAGTTTCTCGTACATTTTTTTATTTTCTTGGCACGTGCCTGGTCTTATAGGGAGTAAGGACCCTGTAAAGTATTTATCGAAATATTTAAGTAGATTTAGAGGCTTAGATGATTAGAAAATTTTAGTAGATAAAAAATTTGTAAAAATTATTAAGTAGGTATACTGAATAGTGAATAGGTACTACATCTAATATTAGCTACTTATAGTTTTTTATTGTAAAACCACATTTAAGGATTATTATACTTTACATAAATATTTTAATAATTTAGCAACTACTTTTTAGAATTTTGATTAAGATACATCTATATTTACAAGACCATCATCATCTGCAATAATTTTCAGTAAAAAAGGAGATTCTCATTTGAAAAATAGAAATTTTTATTGCCACAGGACACTCTTTAATAGTAGTACCAAAAATATCAGGAATTTGAATATAATATGGTCTTTAAGTATACTTAAAAATCTAAATTTAAAGGAAAAAAAGTGGTGAGCATTTTTTTACCAAAATGTCAAGTAAATGTTGTATTTTATTATGAGGCCCCTTTAAAATACCGATCCATGGGCCTTTGGTATGCCAAACCGACACTGCAGCTATTAGTGGCTATTTTATTTAACTGTTTATTTAAATTTGACAATACCTCATTCACGCGGTTTATCATTCGTGCTATCTATTTTGCAGCTTAAACGTTATACAAAGTCCCAGAATAAATAAAAGTCATACAAATAACCACAGGCCACGCATTGTATTCATGTTTAAAATCAAAATATCTAGACTTAAATTACATAAGTTAAATAAATTAAGATAAATCATAACTTGATGTGAGTAGTTACTTATTATATGCATTATGTTATTATTATAAAATTTCATTATCCTGTGTTTACAATATTTATGTTTAAGTAGTATTTATAACAGTAATTGAGTAGTAATGAGTAGTATGTAACTTAAAATTAGAACAGCATAAATTGTTTATATAATTATTTATTTTGTTATCTATATAAAATCAACGGGCCAAAGCCCTCTAACAAAGAAAGAAAAACATTACATATGAATTTGCACAATATGAAAACAATAGACAAGTGATAATAATAAAAGTAAAAATAGTAAGAAATATAAAGACAACATTTTAGTCTTTAAAATAAAACTATAGAATAAATATTTAGGGACTATGATTTAAAAATAACAAAGTTTTAGCTTTAAATACTTGACGAGACAAAACTAAAAAATCCAAGACTCTTTTCAGAAATTTATGCTGAATATTATTAAGCCCGTTTGAGTAAGTAGAATAATAATTAGATAAAATTATATTGTATGCTTAAAATATTTTCATTGTTACAATTTGCAATTTTGCTAATGATTCCGATAGCTTTTATGAAAAGATGTATCAGATGCAGAATTGGTGTATTTTTCATTTATGAAAAAAAAAAAAAAAAATATTTTATATTTTTATGTTTTAATCTGTCTTAAACAGTATATTTAAAATAACCTAATTTAATATGTAATTGATTTATATGCCATAATGCCGTGCACTAGCCACTAGTATATATGTTTCACTGTTTGTTTATTACTTATTTTAAATCTTAAAAGTACTTAAGATGTATTTAAATATTTTCTGAATAGATGTTTTATGTGTTCATTATATTATGTATAAATTAACTTAAGTAAAAAAAATAAAAACATTTTAAATTTGGTATATATTCAATTAAAAAAAAATTTAAATGTAGGATGTACCTAATAGATATTATTATATTATTGTATTATTTAATACTTAAACTTTTTTTTCTGAATGATTCCTATTATTATTTATTATATGTATCATATGTAGTTTAACACTATTGACTTTCTATTTAAATTTGTATGTTATTTTTTTTAAACTGTATAGGGACCTATAAAATAATTTTACTAATAAGTTTGTACTTTACATTTAAAAAATATGTTCTACCAATGTAAATGCAAAATTAAACTATTAGTAACAATTGATATGTACCTAAATATAAATTTAAAAATATTGTGATTTAAAAAAAAAAAGATATAACGACATAAACCGTTATAATATTTGTAATAAATCAATGTAATCGTATATAATTTGATGTATCTACACACTGTTTAAAATTTAAATGTAATTTATTCAATGATTATAATGTATGTTAGAATATAGGCAGAACTAAGGCCTAGAGTAGGTACCTACCTACTGGACTACTGGTTCTAGTATACGTCTATACTTAATGTATTAAATGGATATAATACACAATGCCCTGCTCATCCACATCGGTTGTGGTTAGCTATTTTAAATACTGAAATAAAACATAAAACTATAAACACTATAATATTATTTCAGTTCCACTATTATCTTTAGAATTGTATAAATTAGTATTTAATAATAATAAAATATAACATACCTACACTTGTCTGTATTCCATTAAATAATCATAAATTATGATTACTTAACATTAATCATTATATATTATATTACATTATACTTGTATAATTAATAATTATTGCATGAATTTTTAAAAATAAATAAATACAAATTATTGTTAAAAAAAATGGTATCAATGAATGTTCCACCGCTTCCTCAATACCATTTATAAGACTACATGTCTGAATTGATCGGGAAAAGTCTCCTAGTCTAATCAAAATGTCTAGAGTTCCGTCTATGTGTTTGAATACACAAAACCACAAAATCGTGTTTATAAGTTACCTATATGTTATTAAGGGCAAACAATATGTATACAATTTGTATGCAAAACAAAAAAAATAGTATATATCAGTATTGAATCCAAGTTGTGCAAAGACGTACTAACGCAAATTTTGAAGTGTACAAACCGCATATCCGCGGGTTTTAAAAGAAATAAACTAAACGAATAGAGCACCGACGGCGATTAAAAAGCCGAAATGAATCAAGAAAGACGAATTAAGCAATAATAATGACCAACGGCCGGCGTCGATTGCGAAGGCTACGGACCGTTTTCCCGTACAAACCGCACATCGGCGGATTCGAAAACAAACGAATTACGCGAATAGAGTAGTGACGGGGATGAAAAAAGGCGAAAAACGGTGCAAAAGGCGTAAAAAGTTTTTCAGAAAAACGTTATATAAATATTATCAAAACTGATAACGAAAAAACTGAGATAGATTAGGCCGCTAATGGGTACGAAGCGGAGCGGCGTTTAATTTTTGCGCCACTGGTTCACTGTTCACCATTGTTTCACGGGTCCGCTATACCTAGGCATACATTCATATATATATATGTATATATATGGTATGTTTAATCTATGGCTGGGGAGCATCACCGTTTAGCATTTTATGGTGAACAAAAAAGTAGGTATTTCTTCCATGCATCGTTGCTTCTTTGTTTGTCCGCTTATGATTCCCTACTCCCCTAGCATTGTCGGCACTGCGGAATGGAATGCGTTGTCCATTGTTTATACGTTTAAGGTTATGTTTGTACCTACTTCACAAATTCAATGTCGTGCGGTCGGACGCTCGGTTGAATCGTTTTTTAACGGCGTTGTTCGTGCGCCATCTTGCTTTACTGACGCTTTTACTGTTGTGGCCTAAATCACGTGTGTGTGTTCAGACGTCGATTACCAATAATATTTTTAATATTGAACATTATTTTTCCTCGCCAAGTTGTTAATCGTTACAGTAAAGTCGGACGACTCATCGTTTTATCGTTAAACGCATTGAGTGACCTTTTCGAGTTCTCTTTTACGTACGGGTAGGCAGTTTGGAGCAGGCAGAGGCGTGTCGCAAAAATGTCGGAACCGCCGAGTCTAGTGAAAACGGCTTACTACGCTTGTCGAAGGTTTGAGCGTAGAAAGTATGACTCAATGGAAGTCCCGGACGTCGACATGCAAAGTTGCTGCTGGTCGCTGTTCAAAATAATAAAAATCAACAGAAACATAAACGGGGACAACAATACTAATAGGCAGACTCTGTTCGGAAGATTGAGCCGCAGGTATGTAAAGACGTATAAAAGGAATTTTAGTAGGCAGTATAGAAACATATGCACGGAGGCCACGACGCACGGTCACATCGACTGCCTAAAACTGGCTCACGAGATTGGCATTGGATGGGGTGATGGTCAGTCGTGCACCATTGCCGCGAAAGCTGGAAATCTGGAGTGTCTGAGATATGCTAGAGAAAATGGTTGTCCATGGGACAAATGGACGTCCATGTATGCCGCCGAAATTGGCAATCTGGAGTGTTTGAAATATACCATTCAAAACGGTTGTCCCTGGGACACATTTACGTGCACGTTCGCCTCAGCATATGGACATTTGGATTGTCTGCGGTACGCCCGGGAGAGTGGATGCCCATGGGACGAATGGACTTGCAACTTAGCCGCGACATCGGGCCAACTGGAATGTCTTAGATATGCCCATGAAAATGGATGCCCGTGGGTGGCTAGGACGTGCATGTATGCTGCGAATACGGGAGAACTGGAGTGCCTGAAGTACTTAAGGGAAAATGGTTGCCCATGGGATGAGAGAACGTGCATAGTTGCCGCCGGCAACGGCCATAGTGCCTGCCTGGCATACGCAATGGAGAACGGCTGCCCGTGGGACGGTAATCTTGAATAATACAACAGTCTGTAATTCCGTGAAGTGCAAAGGTCATTGATACATTTTGTCCCAAATTAACTTATCTCGGTAAATTGGGTAAGTCGATAATTCTAACAATTATTTAGAATTATTTATTCCAACCTTAAAAAAAAAGTATAGATATAATTTTTTTTATATTCGGTTTAATTAGGTTTTATAAAAACCATTTATAGTTTAGTATTTTATATTTTGAATTAGTATGTAACTCATTATTATAAGTTACAAATTTGTAATAACTGTTTTCTAATAATGCGGAAATTATCAACTTTATTTTTGAATAGGTAGCACACTAATCCACTTTATTTTTTATATTATGTAATTTATTTCATGCAAATGTATTTATGTAAAATTTATAAATCTCTTTCAAAATATGTTATAAAAAATATTATCTCACTAATTAATTTTATCTCAATATTATATCAAAGTATGGTTTTTAATATACCTATTGTGTTACCTTTTCTATTCTTTTAATTGTTTATGCTTAGTTGGTTAATAAAATATTTTTTTTCAACTTTCAACAACCAAAATATGTTAATTGTATCTATTTCATTCAACATATTTACAATACATTTTGTTGATTGATGTCTTGAGTGTTAAGTTATCACTGATAATTATATAAATATTAAAATATCTTAAATCATTATAAAATTAAAATTTAATTTTTATGTAGTATCTTACAGTTTATAAATGTATCGGTCTTGTAATGCCCCCTCCCTCAAATCATACATACAATTCTACATTAGTTATTTGATTATATATTTAATAATAAATTGAATATGTGATTGTTATTTTATTTGTAACACAATATACTATTAATAAAATATGCACAATTCACTAGCCAGTCTTGTTAATTATTAAATTATTTTAGGTTGCTTAAAAATGTCACTAATTTGAATAACAAATTTAATTTATCTGGCAATAATGAATAAATGTGTACATAAGTTTTTTGAAATAATGATTTTTGAGTATATATTATGATTTATGAACAATCAAAGAACAGTTATTACTTATTACACATTCAATATTAAATTATTTTTATTCCAACTAGCGGTTTCAAACTGTACTCAATGGTGCCCTACTAGTATCAAACAGCTATACAAAAAAATCATTATTTACAATTATTTTTTATTATTTACAATTTGAATTTTATAAAAATAATTTGTATATTAATAATAGTAATAATAATTTTATTTAGCGGATCATCTATCTGATTATAAAAAATTGTGTCCATTAACAATAACATTTTACAAATGTATCTTAATATCCTACATGATGAGTAAATGCAGATAAAATTATATGCACAACTTTAGTTTTCTCAGCTTTGTTCAGTTTTGTCAACTGTTGTACTTGGCTAATGGCTGATATTTTGATTAAAAAGAACTAGCCTTATTGGTTATCACTTTCAATGAAAACTAAACAGGGGTTACTGCGATAAAATACAGGACAAAAAAGCTCGCGGCCTGGCTAGGTTACGGCTTGGCATGGCTGTATACATTTTAAATTTATTCATTATGTCTGTTATATTTGCAGAATTTTGATCATTTTGATATTTCAATGATTTCATAATGTTAGTATAATTTTCTTTGAAGGTAAAAAAGTTTATTTACCACCTAGTTTGAAATATGTATAGTGAAAATAACTAGTAATTTTTTTTACGAAATGTGAATAACCAAATAATGAAATCTATGCAACAAAAATTGTCATGTATGTCATATTATAATTTATTATTACAATTAAAATGAATAGATAATTAATAGTCTAACAGGAAACTAACAAATTTCATCAACATAACAATATAATAACTAAAAAAAATTATTTCATTATTAATGGTCAAAAAATAATTTATGTATTGACTTAACCTTGATATAGACTGTCAGTCGTTCCATCTATTTGTATGGAACAATAAAGATTGACAATCTGATTGATTTTATGGGAAGATTAACAATTACGGTACTCATTATATGGGGGCGTCCCCCTTTAGTGTAGTCCCTTAGTTTATAGGCTCCTTACGTTTGATATTAAATGTATTTCAAAATTTACCAACTTTAAATATAAAAACCCATTATTATTTTGTTCATTTTTTTCCTGAATTAATTTTTAATTTTCAAAAAAATTAAAATATTATTGTACAATTTAAATAAGTATCTAATATTATTGTATGATTAAATAATTCAAAAAAATTACCTTTACTAATTGGCATAATATATACCTACATAATACATCACACAGTAAGACTATTTATTGTTAATCGTTGTTTTCTGAAAAACTATGAGGAAGAGCAATAAACATCAGGGATTAAATTATTTGTCATAACAAGTTACATACATTGTATATTGTGGATTCGTCAAAAAAAAATTAAGCCCCATATTAAGGATGATTGATGAACGTGATATTACCTACACCAACCCTAAAAAATTAAATGCCCTAGAAATTACATCACCACTTAACTGCACAGTGCACACAAACTGGTGCTAACTGCAAACTTGAAGATATTTATTAGTAAACATGTAACAGATACTATTATTATTTACTAGGTACCTACTTAAAAATAAAAAAAAAAATAAGCTTTTGAACTACTCAATGCTCACAAGTTTACTAAAATTGCACTAGTATACTTGGCCACTTGCGTTATCACTTAGATCATATACTATGGTTTTAGCCATGACAAATTAAATAGGAATGTCAGCAATATATCAGTTTTGAAACCAATCTTGCATCCACCCTCCACCCAGCCTTGTCCTGTGACACGTAAGCATTTCTCCGTTTCTCATTCATCCGCCGCCACCGAAGACTCCACCACCACTCTACCGCTCAACCTTTAGAGAAATGCTTACGTCATAGGCATGCATATCACGAGTTGCTGACATACAATTTAATACATATTTAATTTGTAATGGTTGATGCAACAGCGTATTGAATTAATACAAAATAATGTGGCCGATATCAGTGTCGAGTAACCGAATTCGTTGTTCGATAATATGCTTATCACAACTTATTACAACTTCTCCGATAGATAAATTGTCATCAAATCACTATATTATGTTTTAAATATTATTATGACGTTATAATATCATCTATTATAATAACATACCACCACAGAGTTCTATATATTACTAGATAGCGAACTCTGGTCATGAACTGAAGCTTCAAGGTAGGTTGGCAATTGTATGGTATTTCATATGACAAATAAAATTATATTACGATTTATTTTGTATCGTATTATTTCTAAATATGTAGTTTAAAAAAAAAAATATATTTTATATAAGTCATTTTACATTCAATATTTTATTTGACCATTAAAAAAAATATTATTCCTAATACATTGTGTATAATAAATGAAATGTTTTACCAACCGACAAAATGGCGGCCGTTCACAGCTAAGCTTCACTTAATAACAATGTATATTGTATAGGAGTTCCTTATCTAGTGTAGTATAGTCTGTAGTATAAGTCTGTGCATACGACCAACTAAGTTTTAGAGTAATTCTGTGATACCTATGGATAATCATAATTATAGGGACACATCGATCACCTAATTCGGATACTCGTCGCTAATACCGGCAACAGAATATTACATAATACGCTTTGGCTACATCCATAATATATGATCTAAGGCTTACTGTTGAATATATACATTGTAAATTATATAAATATTAACACCGAATTCATAAAAATAAAATTGTGATAATTGTTGGGTAACTAGATAAGTACCTACCGACAAAATAAACAACACAATTACCTAGTAACTTACATAATTTGTGGGTCTAGAATGAAAAGGTTCTAAATTGTTTTTATGAAATTGTCCAGGAGAGCAATTTTAAGGATTGAGTTCAAATATTTTACTCCTTGAACCACATTTTTTGAAAATTAAAATTCTTATTGGCATGCAGCAACTTGTATAGGTAGTTTAATTCACAACATTATAATAATAATTTGCTGCATTGGTTGGTATACAAATTAATAAAATACAAATTATAAAATGTTTAGTATGAAAAGGTTCTTCAACATTAGAACCTTTTCATCTTGAAATAAATAAAAATATAGTTAATTAAAACTTTTTCATTCTTATTTATTATTTTTATTATTGTTAGCTGAATCCTTCTAACACGAAACAATGTAATAACATTATGAAACATCGAAATCTGTATCTAGATCGTAAAATTCTGTTGAATTTAGATAAATGTAATAATTATTAATTACTATTGGTAGTGATTAATTTGATTAGAACCTCTTCATACTAAACGTATTGCTAATAATTTGGTTCTATTAACCCAGCGTTTTCAGTTTGATTAAATTGTGTTTATAATTTAATTTATGGCGATTTAGAAACTTTTCATTCTAGACCCACGTATTAATAATAAATTATATTTAACTATAATAAAATTCTTGGTTTATATCTTGTAACAATGTACTATCTCTATGCTTACAAAATATGTACGTACCTATATAGGTAGGTATACTGTAATGCAAGGCGGGGCAAGTTAACTATTTTTTTTAACTCGTTAAGTTAATATAGAAAAATGCAAGTAAAGCTTAAAATTAAAAGTTAACTTTATTTTTTTCAACTTGTAAAAGTTGCAATTTAATTAAAAAAAAAATTTTTTTTTAAAAACACACTTTTCTAAAAAAACAAAAAAATAATGAAAAATTTAAAAGTGTGTGGTATAATATGTCAAGTGTAAGAGCGCCACACACTTTTAAATTTTTCATTATTTTTTTGTTTTTTTAGAAAAGTGTGTTTTTAAAAAAAAATTTTTTAATTTTTTATTTTCTACTTTTTAGTTAAAAAATTTTTTTTTACGGATTATTGTATTGTCATCAAAAACCAAGGTCTATCCCAATTTTCAGAATTTTTCATCTTCAAAAAGTGCCTCAAATCGAGAGCGCAAGATTTGATCACAGACGGACGTGAAACCGAACTTAAGAAAAGTGTATAATAAAAAGTAACTTAATTTAGTTAAAAACAAGTTACTTTTTAAA